TTTATGTGCTGTCCAGAAAAAACACTTCAATATTACTGGTAAAATAATATTAGCATTTACTTTTTTTTAGTAGAGTAATATTGATTTATAATATAATGTGTATTGTTTATTTAGTAAATTTTAGTAGTTTAGAGATTTAGATTTTTTTTGTAAAATTTAAAAGAATAATTAAATAAATRTTACTACACCCAAAAATCCTTTTTTTCAGTGCACACTCACCAGGAGAATCTGGGAAACTTTCTGAGAACACCTAACATTTACTTAAGAGGCCTGGACAAGTGTGAGTGGAGAGGCATGCCTGGCATACAGGGAATGCCAGGGTGTCGCTGTGAGAAGCTCGCTGCATCCGACACACCAACATCTTCAGCCGTCCACGCAAAACTACAGGAACTGCCTTTAAAGCCAGCTGAGGGAACAGCTAGAGTGTCCTTAGACAAACAAATATGGCTTCAACAAAATGAACAAGCTCCTAATGAAGGATATGGGTGGAGGCTGTTTGTCGGGAGGTGAAAAGACCAGTGTGGTCCAGGCTTCAGTCAGAGACGCTCAGCCTGCACTGACCTCTGAGCGGGAACAAAAAAAGCCACGTTGATTATGTGCGTCATTTTATTCAGGGGACAATCCAAAGAAACAAGCTTGTTAATATGGAAAACCAATTAAGCGGGCAGAGTGCTCGAGAATCTCAGACAGAGGGGGAGGGAAGCCACGTGAACCCTATCAAAGACTCCTGTTGTTGGAATTAGGACTCAAATCTCTGGTTTGGGGGGTTTGTGAGCAAGTCCTGGAGTTGCAGCGRGGAGAGAAACAAACACAAAGCATGCATGTGTGCTGAGCGTGTGTGAGGCCAAGGGGATGTTGGGAAGAATGGAGGGATGTCACGCTTTGTTTTTCTGCCTGTTGATTCTGAATGTGACCAATTAGTAAAGCAGAGAGACAGAGTGTGGGAGTGAAGGAGGAGGAGGAGGAGGAGGGGTCCGGTCCCTTTCACCATGAGAGTCCAAGGTCTGAGTCACAGAGGGATGAAAGAAGAAAGAGAAAAATGGGGCAGGGTGCTACATAATGAACATAATGACAAACAAAAGAACTTTTCAGTCATTTCTGGTCGCTTTCCTCAGACCCCCAACTCAGTCTGACGGCTGAGAGGCCAGGGACGGTTCTCTTTCTTTTACCCATCTTTGCTACAAAAAATGCAAGACTTTCATGTGAAACAGAAAACATTCCAATTCCTTCAATTAAATTCCTCTGTTTAATTGAAACAGAGGCAGGCAGGAGCACATTTACAGGTTATAATACCTATTTGATCACAATCAGCTGGGCAAATATGCAATAAGACACCAAGGTGTCTGAAACGTTCAAATAAAAAAGCAGAGTTTTAAAATAATTTGGAGATAAATTATTTCCACAGAAAGGAGTCTTTTCCTGGACGCCACACAAAAGAGGAATCTGTTTCAAATGACACAACTGGACTGTTTTCTTTAATAACAAACCAATCTCCACCAGACAAAAAGTGTTTTTGCAAAATAAACTGGTGTGCATTGAAAACATATTGCCTGAAGCTTGTTTTCAAGCTTCATTTGTTCAAATATCACAATAACAAACAGCTGTCATTGGCCAAAATGCTAGAAATACAATAATAAACTGTACAATTTGATAATGAACACAAGACAAAAAAAAAAGATACGATATAACTAGACATAAAATATAATCATTTAAAGGTACCACTATTCAATAAGGCTGCCCTTATAGATGGCTTATAAATACTAAATAGATCGGTTATTAATTTATCTGTAAACACTTTATACATTATTGTTAAGTGTTTATTATGCATTAATTAAGAACGACAAAGACAAAACTGTCTGTTTTTTTGTCAAATAGTGAGCCAAATCTGTTCACGTACATATTAAATCTAAAGTGCTATATTAAAAATTTCACACTAGGTTACTACCTTGTAAACACAATAATGTATTGGAAACATATTTTACATATAATATTGCACTATACATATCCACAAATATCAAAGGGAGCCTTATTGTAAAGTGTAAGACTGTACACTATTTATAAGGCTTCATTATGACATTTATACACATTTATTAAGCATTAATAAATAGTGTACGTACTGTTAACATGTGTTTCCAATACATTATTGTGCTTACAAGTTAACCGAGTGTGAAATGTTTAATATAACACTCTGTGTACTTGAACCATTTTGGCTCACTATTTAGCAAGAAACCAGACAGTTTGGTCTCTTTCTTATTCTTAATTAATGCATAATAAACACTTATTAATGATTTATAAAGTGGTTACAGATGAATTAATAACCTATCAATAACCTATTTACAAGCCATCTATAAGGGGAGCCTTATTGTAAAGGGGTAACAATTTAAATAATATAATATAGTAAAGATAAAATGTAGCAAACATAAAAAAGCAAATAATAAGATGCTTCCTAACTTACGACATTATATATATACTATATATA